ATTGTTTGGATTTTCACGTAAACATTGATTTAGCTGGTAGCCCTCAAATGGTGGAATCTGATTGTGTAAATGAGACAGCTGGCAAATTAATGCGTCCCCTAAACCCAATGCATTCACCGAAATTCATAAAAAAAGTACTAAATAAGTGGAACAAAATGGGAAGTTGAGACCTGTACGCACAATGTCTTGTGGATACAACAAACCACTATAAATTCTTGGATAAATTTTGATCTATATGCATGTAGAGTTCGGCTTTGGTCAGTGCAAATCCACTCAGTCTTTACAGCCTGATAATATCTCCCTTTATTTTATGGGGAGGAATAACAAAAGACCAAAAGCTTTTGTCCACCAAATGTTTAACGTTGTCTGGCAATTAGTACCCATGCTGTTTTTACCTAAAACACTTTGGATTGACCAATACAAATTTGCATACTTAACATTATTTGAAGTTATTGATAATTGAAACATACCTTAAAAATGCAAGAGGCAGGCTGTTTCGTAGAAACGCCAAATTGATTTTTTTTCCTCCAGGGGGGAGCTGGGGAGGAAGTGAGGGTTGGGTTTAGCTTGGGTTGGTAAACTCAGGCTTGACCTCAAGTTGGGAAAGGTCAAAGCCCAGGGTTTAAGTCTTAGGGTTCGGCATAGGTTGACCCTCAACCCGGCCCAACATGACCAAGTTGCCTCTAACCATTACCAAAAGGAGTAAATGACCAAGTAAACCATCATCCAACTGATCCATTTACCCCCAGAACCAATAGTAGATGAATGCCCCAATTCACATGGTGATACACTCTTCCCAAGTCCAACTTGCAAGTCAGCCACTTATTGGCAAATTTAATAACATTTGCTGCCATATTTTCACCCAAAATTTAAGATTATCTTCCTTCACAAAAGTTGAACCCGGAAACTACCTTCTCCAATGCTTCCCTCAGTCTAAGAGAAAGTGTCTTCATCTGCTGCCTTGCTTGCAACCAAAATTTATTTTAAGATTTACTTTCCTTCACGGAAGTAAATTGAAGCTCAGACACTACCATCTTCAATGCTTCTCTAATCAAAATGATTAAGCAACAATCATTGGACACGAGTCACCCTGCATCCTATGGATCAAGGAAGTCAATGTCAGATTTATCCATTTACTAATCTATCCTCTTTGTTATCAATTATTAATCCTTCCTCTGTTATAACCTTAAATACATTCATCATAGCCCAAATGATTCACCTCTCAACATTTATGATACAACGCCAAAGAAAAATTATCAGGTTTGGTGCCTCATACATCTAAAAGATGGCTGCTTCACCTCCTTCATTACAAATGGTCTCATCAATCAAATAATTTGTCCTTGAGATCTTATCCCAATTTCACGATCACATTCTTTTCTTTTCTCCCATTTTCTAGACCATGGAAAGGTTTGCAATTCTCATTCCCTTCTTTTATTCATCCAGATCTAGTCCTTCACCTCGAGTTTATTTCCTCTCTCCTAATTAGTTTCTTAAACTCCATTTCCAACCTCTTCTACTACATAATCCTCTTGATTTAGATTTCTATCATCTTCCAATCTATCCAGATCCACCATCTGACTGAGCAAGAGTACATCTCCCACCAAGAATCCTATCTAGCAGTACTCATCATTCAAACATTTATCTTCGATTTCCTTCACTTGTCCTCTATTCTTCAGATCTAGGTTCTTTGAACTTTAGCTCACATGTAGTTCTTTATAAAAAGATGAAATCGGATAATTGATAAACTGTCTATACAAAGTCTAATTTCACTCCCAGCATCCATTTTCCAAGCTTGTATTTGGATTCCCCACCCCCACAAAGAATAAAAGGCTTTTACGGCTTTGCTAAAGTAGAGGAAAGCATGTGCACTCTTCTCTATGGACCCATTTCGTCGATATGTTTCGCACTAGGTGGTGCTTCCCAGGAACTCTCAAGGAAGCCTTTGAAGGGTAGCATGCAAAGAAATTAAGCCAAAAAGGAAAGCAAGGGTTTTCAACATCAAAGTCTCTTTCTCAGAGGCTTTTTGGCTGAAACTAGTTGGCAAGGTGTCCTATTGGTATCCATCAACAAAGAGTTTGGGGGAGTACCCCATTCAAAGTTATTTGTTTCTGATATTTTGAATACGCCGTATCAATAAAATCAGATAAGATCCCTTGTTTTATATGAATGCCTATATTCTGGTTCTCATGGTATAGTAATTTATCATGGGTAAATTGTATATGGCTTTAAACTTTTGACACAATAAAAAAAAAAAGGCAAACTAGTAGCATTTGAGCTGGATTTGACAATAATAAATATAAAAGTGGGTGCAAATATCCTTCCTGGCCCTCAAGGATAGCCCACTGCCACCATATATACAATGAATGTTAAAAGATTAAGTTAGCAATATAAGAGAATGATGAGAGTTTGCATACGATCCACAAGAGACTCTAATCCAGGACCACTTGACATTGTTCAGCTCCCTTCACAAACTAGCTATCACACCTAAACAACTTTTACTGCAGAAGAAATGAAAAAAAATCTTCATCAGATCCAATGCATATCGAAATAATTATGATTTAGAAGAATTGCAAACATGATGATAATTAGACAAAACCAATACCACCCTAACATAAATAAAATGGAGTGCATTGCAAGGAAAATAAAATGCTAACATTTAGAATAGATATTTGGGCCAAGAAATTGTTCATTCTACAGAGCTCCTTGTAGAAATTGTTTAAAAAAATCAACAGAAAAAAAAATAATAAATAGAACAATAACATTCCTTCGTTTTGTTGGTACAGCACAACAATATTGTTTCCTACATAGTTGCTAAAGGCCCTTAAGACCATATGCATAACCAGCAAATCTTCGTTGTACCCAAGACTTTAAGAGATAAAGGTGGAGGTGAAGTGGTTAGGGCTAGAGAGGCTGGGGTAGACCTTAAGGTGTTACAAGATGTAAGCAATAAAAAATCAGAATTATCAATATAATTTATAAAAAACAAAAGCATAAAAGAAATTAGCTAGATTGCTAGTATAATCCTGTAGCTCAGGTGGTAGACTAGTGATCCACAACAACCATGGGTTCGAGTCCTGATGTATTATTTTTTTCTAAACATATAAAAGCAATATTACAATCAAAACAAATTAAAAGCAATCTATCATGTTCCAAAATGACAACTAAACTTATTCTAATAGTCTTTAAACAACAGAACTTCAAATTCATTCTTTGAACAGGCAATATTACAATCAAAACAAATTAAGAGCAATCTATCATGTTCCAAAATGACAACTAAACTTATTCTTTGAACAGGAGAAACTCCAAAGAAACTTTCTTTGGGAAGGCAGAGGGGAGAAAAGAAATCACCAAGTAAGTTGGGAACAAGTGTGCAAACCTGAGGAAGGTGGGTTGGGAACCGATCATCTTAAGGAGAAGAATACCTCTCTTTTGGGAAAATGGCTTTGGAGATTTCCTAAAGAATCTAATTCCATGTGGGAAGCCATCTGATGGAGCGCAATCCGGTCGGTCCTAGTTGTCGATGACCTGGCCTCTGAACGGAGCTACGGGGAACCTGAAACCAAAGGGTGAGAACGCCTCGTGGGAGACCCGGTGTGGAGGCTCCAAAGCTCAAGTTAGAGTCTTTCAAAGGCAAAATGAAACCAGATAGCGCAAAGTTTGCATATCTTCTTCTTGGGGGGTCGGGAGCCTTTTATAACCACCTCGTGCACTCACTTCCAAGCTCCGTCAGATCGGGCATGATTACTTCTGAGTTCCTGCCAGTTCGGGTGTCCTTCCTTCTGACTTGGTCAGAACCGCCACTGCTCCTTTTGTCGAGGTCACCTCTACGACTGGTGATGATGGTGGCAGGTGGCGGTGGCAGGAGGCCGTTTGAAGTGCGGCTGTCAAGCGTCAGATCCCAAGCCAGTCAGGTGCGCCGCCCTGGGATACGGACACCCCTAGTGTCAGGGATGGTACGTTCGGTCAGCCA